TCCCACTCCTAACTCACCCAAACGTCGCAGCATGATACCGTGGTCCACGGTATCAAAAGCCGCTGAGAGGTCCAAAAGAACAAGGACAGAGGAATGGCCCCTGTCCCGGGCCCTCCAGAGATCATTTACCAACGTGACCAATGCCGTTTCCGTGCTGTATCCCGGCCTGAAGCCCGACTGGAGCGGGTCCAGATAGACCCTGCCATTAGTGGCTTTGGGTTTTTCCCATTCTTCTCACCCTAAAATACTTCTGGTTGGAGCATACATGTTTCAGATCCATGCCCTGATGAAATGTTTTAGTCTAAATATGAACCATCCACAAATAGTTGTTCCATGCATGTCCCTAATGTATCTATATGTATATTCCTGCCAGAATTCACACTTTAAAAAGGGCATGTTAACAGAAATATTAACAGTATATGTAAAATGATCCCTACCATTTATAGGTGTGGCAGTGAGGGGCAATCATCCTGTTTTTTGTCTGATTACAAAGGTAATATTGATGAGTTTAACTCATTCTTTTCTGCAGATGGTTAGAAGAACGGCATTCGCAATCACATTCAATCCCAGCTTTATTCAGACCATCTCCTTTAGAGCGAATTAAAACAAATGTTACAAACCCTGCCTATGCTGTTGAACCCGGACAGAGTGAGAGTTCCCTTCACATGGGATACACTGCATTGGAAATCAAGAGCAAAATGCTTGCGCTAGAGAAGGCGGACATGTGTATTTACAACCCTTTATTTGGATCTGATCTTCAATACACCAACAGAGTAAGAAGAAATAATTATTAATACTACTTTGGGGCTTAATATTTTCATTTTGGGCTTTAAACTTTTTAAAATTCTGCAATATTTCCAGGTGGACAAAGTGGTTATAAATCCGTATTTTGGACTTGGAGCTCCAGATTATTCAAAAATACAGATTCCAAAACGGGAAAAGTGGCAGCGCAGCATGAGCAGCGTGATGGAAGACAAGTACTATGTTATTTTTATTCATTTTAATTATTTGTTGTTTTAACCAGTCATAACTGACTCTTGGTGACTTTATATGCAAGTGCTCTCCATGCTGTCCTGTCAAGCACAGCTTCTTTCAATTGTTGGATATTCATTTTTGTATCATATTTTATATCAAGCATGTCAAACGTACAACATCATTTGCGCGACATATTGCAACTTTTTCCCCATTGCTGGCAATGGGGTGGGCGCGGTTTGGGCGTGACGCATTCAGCCCACAGGCCGGTAGTTTAACATGCCGATTTTATATTATCAAGTCAGTGTGTTCTTTACTTGCCCCCTTCTTTTTGTTTCGCTAACCATTCCTAGCATCATTGACTTCTCCAGTGAATTTATATGCATAACACGGCCAAAGTAAATCAAGTGTTAGCTTCTAATGATGTGTCTGGTTTTATACAATTCAGCATCTCTCTGTTGGTTGCTATGGCTGTCAACACACAATAATTTATGCTAGCAGCACAGTGCAAAGGTGCCAATTTGAATTATATTTTCATACAAATAATTTTCATTTTTTTTAAAAAAAAAATATGCCTTTAATAAGCTTATTTATTGATTTTATTATTGCTTTTGGTAGGCGAAAGCTCTTAGGGAAGAGGAATGGCACCTAAGTACCAATACCTAAACAAACTCTGCTGATACAAAAATTTACACAGGATCACTCATAGTTAATATTTGAATAGGAGCCCAAAAGGAAATTCTAGAGCAGTAAACTAGACTGGAAAGTCACAAAAACATGCTAAAAACAAACTGTTTCTAGTGCTGCCAAAAAACTATATAGATGAGTCTCTGAAAGCATTGGGAATTGAATTCAACATGAAGTAAACCTTTCTTATAGACAATATACAGAACATACTTTAAAAAGGTTTTGTCAAAAGTGAATGGATTTTTAAAATGAAACATGTTACTGGACTAGATCTTTGAAATATAAATTTGGCATGTAATTTGTTCAAGTGTATTCACTTGCACACTGCATTATAAAATTGATTCATATGCTATTTTGTGCATATTCATATCTTATATTCTGACTGCTTTCTGTTGGGACACAATTTAAATATTACGTCTTTTTTATTCCTTTTAGGGAACGTCAGTGGGTTGATGATTTTCCTCTTCATCGCAGTGCTTGTGAAGGTGATACTGAATTACTGAGTCAACTTTTGGATGAAAACTTCTCAGTAAATCAGTTGGATAGTGACCACTGGGCACCTATCCATTATGCATGCTGGTGAGTTTGATGCAGTTGCAGATCAATCTAGAATTGTTCAGAATTAAACTGATTTTAATATGGAAAAAACTCATTGCAAAGCTTGTGACTAAAGTCACAATGCCACGTTTGGGTCTCCTTCCTGCATTACTCTTTGAGGTGCCAAAATAGAGCTGATCCAACAGCCATCCAGCTCCACCTCTGATATAGGCGAAGATTCCTGGACGGAAAAGCATGTCAAGTTGTGATAGAGCAACAAAAAAGAATTGGTCTTTTGATGGTGTAGATCAGCCACCAATATTCCAGGTTAACAAGAAAGTTACATCAACATTCAAAGATAGTCAAATGGTTTGGATTTGATTTTAGTGAGCTAATCATCTGAGATCATTGTATTTTGCTGAAGAGCCAATGGGAAACAACCAAGCCTCCTGCAAGAATTAACTTATCTCATGCAAATTTTGTAATTGTTCCTGGGGATCTTGTTCTTAGAATACAAAATCAGCACAGTCCGATAAAGTTTGTGTTGCAGGGACATTTTTCAGCAACAATGGGTGGATGGTTCTTGCTGTATGCTGCTCTGCACAATTGGATCAGCAAGATATCTGCCAACTGCACCCTATTTGCTGCTTATAAACCCAATTGTATATAGCAATAGCACTTAGACTTATATACCAATTCATAGTGCTTTATAGCCCTCTCTAAGCAGTTTAGAGTCAACATTTTGCCCCCAATATCTTGGTGTGTTTGAAAATCCCCCCCCCCCAGGATCCCCTACTAGCTCATAAGGATCTGAGGAGCTGTGGACTGGAGGACGACGTCCCAGCCATTCTGTTCTCCACTGAGGGGAGACACTTTGTGTCAGAAGTTGAGGAAACAAAATCTGTTAGTGGCTGAGCTGCAACCACTCTTTCCAATAGTTTTCCTCAGATTTTCTAACTTGTATAGAATATTATTTTATTTGTCTCTTGGTAAAGAGCCAAAAGTGCTGATAAGTCCTGCTTCAGCTGAGTCTGGAAAATCTTCATTTAGTACCCAACTTTTTTGCCATTGCCAACAATGGGGTGGGCGCGGTTTCGCTACGATGCATCTGGCCCGCGGACTGGCAGTTTGACACCCCTGATTTAGTAGATCCAACTGACTCCCATGGCCTCACTTTCTCAAATCCAGGGGCAGTGCAGTGGCTGCCTTGGAGTCATCTGGGACTAAGATAGTTGCTTGTTATAGCTGACCTAGAATTGAATAGAGTTTAATCTTTTTGTGATAAAAGATTCTGCTGGACAAGATTTGAAACCAACCTAAATATGCTATCTTTTTAAATAACATCAGTAGGATGGTAAGTTGTTTAAAAGAAGAATCTGTTATGATTTAAGACACTTGGGAGCCATTCAGAAGCACATAGATCTATCTGGCCAGGCTGGCTGTAAGTTGGCTTAGAGAAGTTACTATTGCTGTCTTAAAATTTCAGCATTTGATAATACAGCTATTAAAATAATGCTGAGAGCAGTCTGTTGTGTCTGCCATAAACAGTTTGAATTACAAAGATTCTTCTGTAGCAGCTGAGGGAGCTTTAGTATGTGTGAAGCTCACCCCTTTTGCGTTAAAGTAGGGGTGTTAAACGGTCGGCCCGTGGGTGGATTTTATCATACTGAAGCCGTGCCTACCCCATACATCACGACATGTCATGTCATGTGACAAGTTTGACACTTGTGCTTTAAAGAGTATTCAGGTACTGTGGCATTTTGTCGGATTGTTTTACTTTTTCTTTACTTGCTCCAGATAAAAGGGTTAAATAGACTGCTTTGATAGACATGAATAGTCCAGTATGATACTTTTAAATATAAATTTATATACTGTATATCCTTTCAGCATGTCCATGTTTTATGGCTGAGGACTGCTGAAATAATGGAGATCAAAGTTTAAGCTGTATGCAGGCACTGTTTTGCATATAGTCTATTGAATTTTCCCAGGGGAACTTGTTCCTCTTCTGATTTCAGCTTTTATCTTTAAGCTTGTTTTTAATTCCCAAGGCTGGTAGATGGACTAATTAGCTGGAATGAGAGTCCATGAGGGAGTCCTGACTCCCATTTTGTTCTTCCCTAACAGATAGGAATGCTCTGACAGCTGTTGTTTTTCTGTTTCTGTTTGAAGGTTCCATTCTACGGAATTAAATTTGATTGAAATAAAGAAGCATCTGTTTTACTTACAGAGCCTTGTTTTATAAAATGTTCTACCTTTATTTGGCTGATCTCTGTAAGGAAGAGTCCAGGCTCATGACACATCACTTCTTTCTTTTTCCCATATCATTCAGGTCCACAAAAAGTCTTTATCTAAGCTTTTACCTTCACATTTCTTTTACCTAAAGTAGTATAAATTGAATTTAAAAGACAGTCCCATTAAAAATTGCTAAAAATTAATGAGATAGTTAAAACAAAAGGAGATACAAGAAAATGTGTGGTACTGAGCTGACAGCTTTGCTTCCCCTCTGCTCTGAGTGAATATTGCTGTAGTTGATTTTGTGAAGTGGGCAAAGTCTACCTTCCATATCCCATATTGGGAAGTTTGAATCCCATTAGTAAGATTCCAAAAGAGATTATTGTGCTACAGTGCAAATCCAAATAAAGCCATATTGGATATATGTCCATCATCTACACCAGACATGTCAAAATCGCGACATCACGTGACGTCGCGCAATGTATTGGGACTGTTTTGCCATTGCCAGCAATGGGGTGGGCGCGGCTTCCACGTGATGTGTCCGGCCCGCAGGCCAGCAGTTTGACACCTCTGATCTACACCTATATACTATCTCCATGATAATAATAGTATTTCAAAAACTTCTGATGATATTTATTCATTGGTGGTGAAAAGATGTTCTGGCAACTCAAATATAATTTGTTTTGTGGAGTCTTGGCTAGTCTCACCTGGTTGTGAGACTGCTTTGCTGCTGTTAAGAGCTGCCTTCCTGCTGTAAAATACCTTGAATCTTTGTTGAGAATGATGGAGATTCCTTTTTTTTTTTTAGCCATTTGCAGTCAGACAAGAACGGTAAAGTGTTAATTTGTCTGGGCCTCATAATAGAAGCCTCAACACTTCCCTGTAAGGGGGCTTTTTATAATTTTGGTTATATTCACTACTGACCATTAGAAAGAAAGAGATAGTTGATTTTATTCTTGTTGGAACATATCAGGCATAGATGGCTGCCTTATGCTAGGTTGTATATATGTTATATGTTCAACCCTTTACTGGAATTTAAACTCAGAGGCTGTGAACATTTTATTTGAAAAATCTGGATGTAGTGATAGATAAAAAGATATTGGGGAAAAAACTTACTTTATTTAGAATCCTAAATAAAGGCATAAGCAACTTATTTTTTATTAGATTGCACCTATATTCTGAGGAAAGTAGGGTATTCAAAAAAACCTCTTGTGTTGTTTGTACCAGGATTATTGATGAGCAAGATTAATGTCTTGGAGGGTTTCTAGAATTATTTTATACATGTTTTATGTATTTATTTTTATTTTTTCATATAGGTGCCTATCTCACAAAGAAGTGACCCTAGGTTGCATAAAATAAAATCCTTTATTTTCTTCTATTTCTTTTCTTTGGGCAGGTATGGAAAAGTAGAAGCAACACGAATGCTGTTAGAGAAAGGAAAGTGCAATCCAAATTTGTTGAATGGACAACTCAGCTCTCCTCTTCATTTTGCTGGTGGTGGTGGTCATGCTGATATTGTTCAGATTCTCCTAAACCATCCAGAAATTGACAGGGTAAGATTTTTTTGCCAGCTGCAGTTAAACTTGCTTAAAGGGATACATTTTGTCCTGTGAATTACAAAAGTAGGTGTACTTTTCGGTATCACAGTGGTATACTAAAAAGTTAAGATTCTAAAGGAAGAACCGATCTTTCCTGTGGTGTTTCTGATTTGCTATTGCTACAGTAATGATTGACATCATTACCAGCCTTTGAACAGTATATGTAATTGATCTTTTGCCAGGAAGGACTGGAAAAGTTTCAAAAGTGCTTTTATTTACATTTAGAAGTGGTTTGAACTCCAAACCTAAAAGATCCAGATCTTAATTGTTGGAAATGAAAAGCCTGATGAGTATGGAGACTTTTAGATGATAACTTAAGAAGGCTTTTGGGACAGGAAAAGTATTGTACATGTTGCAATTCTTACCCAAACTGCAATAATAATATAGCAGATGTTTTACAGGAAAGCAATCTCAAGTACAAGTCCCTGCAATTCTACAAATGGATGGAAAAGACACCTCTCTGAAATCCTGGAGAGATCAGGAACTTTTGTTATGTTGAACACCCCCCCCCCCCAAAAAAAAAAGATAGAAAAAAAGAAAGAAAATAAAATATAAACACATCCAAAATCTTATGAAAAATTACTTTTTGTGACTATTTTGTGAGATTTCAATGACTTTTTTAAAATTATTAAATAACAGTGGTGTAAAAATATATGTAAAAATTCCTGGGTTAGATAAACTCAAGTCTCACTAAAATGAAAGTACCATTTGATTTTATATTTACAAAACTGTATTTTTGCAAGTTGTCTTATTTCTGTTTGTAGCACATCACTGATCAACAAGGAAGAACACCACTGAATATCTGTGAAGAAAACAAACAAAATGAGTGGAAAAAAACAGCTATGTTACTTAAAGAGGCCATTAATAAACAAGTAGGCATAATGTTTCTAATATTATAATATCTACATTTTATAGGTTAAAAAACATTTATATCAAGTATAATGACTTATAATTTAATTGACTGATTTTAGACCACTATAGCAAGGCCAAGAACTAAAATCTCTATTAAAATTAATAATGTAATTTAATAAATAATGGTTTTCTAAAACAGAGCAGGCTGTTTCTTTTGCATTTTAATTTTATTATATTGCTTTCTATCAGTATGATGTGATTTCAGTAGATTAAAACAAACTTTTCTGAAATTCTTGGAATTTTATGGTGAACTCTACTAATGCTTCTCCTGACCTTGTGCATAGAAAACGGGATGAAAGATCATTCTTGACCTTGTCTTGTACTTTGGGGATGCTCATACATTGTAAAAGGGAAAGTTGCAATAACTATGTATTTTGATTTGCTATTAATACTATGCAAAATTTGCTGATCTTCACCTTCAATTTTCCATAGTATGAAAAAGTACGAATTTATCGAATGGATGGTTCATATCGTTCTGTGGAATTGAAATACGGAAACAATACTACTGTGCAGCAGATAATGGAAGGCATGCGTCTTTCTCAAGACACACAGCAATACTTCACTATTTGGATCTGTTCTGAAAATCTTAGTAAGTAATTAAAAATGCTTTAGTTCTTTCTGAAACATGTTGATTTTAGCGTACATTTTTTTTTACTTTCAATAGTTTCAACAGCAGTATAAGTTGTATACAGGTAGTCCTTGACTGTGACCACAATTGAGATCAAAATTTTTGTTACTAAGTGAGACAGTTGTTAAGTGAGTTTGCTCCATTTTATGAGCTTTCTTGTCACAGCTGTTAAGTGAATCACTGCAGTGGTTGAGTTAGTAACATGGTTATTAAGTGAATCTGGCTTCCCCATTGATGTTGCTTGTCAGCAGGTCACAAAAGTTAATCACATCATCCGGGAACCCTGCAGCCATCCTAAATATGTGTCAGTTGCCAAGCTTTTAAATTTTGATCAAACAACAGTGGGGATCCTACAATAGTCGTAAATGTGAAAAACAATCACAAGTCATCTTTTTCAGTGTAATTTTAAACAGTCACTAAATTAACTGTTATAAGTCGAGGACTAGCTGTACTTAAATTAATTTTTAATGGTAACTGGGCAAAGCCCTTAAATCTTATAAACTCAGTTTGAATGACTGTAGAACAGTGATGGCGAACCTTTTAGAGACCGAGTGCCCAAACTGCAACCCAAAACCCACTTATGCATTGTCGGGTGCCGGGTGGGTGTGGCCCATTGGGCGGGTGTGGCCAATTGGGTGGGCATGGCTGCGGTGGTAACGGCAGACTGGATGGGACTAAAAAGTTCAATCAATTCCAACTTTGCAAGATTTTTTCCAACTTTTTTTCCCCGCAAGAAGTTGAAACTGACTGATTGATTGAACCTTTTTTTTTTTTTGCACACGGTGGCAGAGGCCTAAAGCGAAAAGGTTTCATAAAACCCAGCTGAAGGCCTAGGACTGGGGCGACGGCGCGCGTGCCCACAGAGAGGACTCTGAGTGCCGCCTCTGGCATCCGTGCCATAGGTTCGCCACCACTGCTGTAGAAGCTAGGAAGATCCTAATGACATTAATGAAAAGAATGACATTCTTTTTGGTTGACATGATTTGAAACAAGAACGTGTAGATTCAGATTCTCCCCTATAAAGATAGGAGGAAAATCTTATTCAGCTGAGCAGGGTTTTTTTTACATAAACTAAAAGCTATAGCTTAAAATAAATATAGGTTTCTTAAGCAAACTGCAAAAGCAATTCAGGCTTTGAAATTAGTTGTGTAGTAAAAGAATAGAATTTACTACTACTACTACTACTACTACTACTACTACTACTACTACTACTAATAATAATAATAATAATAATAATAATAATAATGTTGGAAGGGACCTTGGAGGTCATCTACTCCAACCCCCTGCTCAGACAGGAAACCCTATACCATTTCGGACAAATGGCTGTCCAGTCTCTTCTTAAAAACTTCCAGTGTTGGAGCATTCACCACTTCTGGAGGCAGGTTGTTCCACTGGTTAATTGGTCTAACTGTATGGAAGTTTCTCCTTAGTTCTAGGTTGCTTCTCTCTTTGGTTAGTTTCCATCCGTTGCTTCTTGTCCTGCCTTCAGGCGCCTTGGAAAATAGCTTGACTCCCTCTTCTTTGTGGCAGCCCCTGAGATATTTAAAACTTAGTGTATAATTTGAATGTAAGCAGTACATTTTGAACCTGTTAAGTGAAATTAAATTCTAGTTTATTTCATCCTGATCATGAAAGAGGGATGAGGATGGCTTAAGATGAGACATTTCATACCATTTTTCCTATGTACCAGAAATTAAATTATACTTCATAGTGAAAGTATTATCAGAATTTGTGAAAAAAACATGATCAGCCCTATTTCCTCAACTCAAAATGGAGCATTAATATGACTTGCTGGTATGAAAAAGCAGAATTATGAATTACAAATTTTATATTGATTCAAAAAGGTGATTTTATTTCCAAGTATTTAGAATTTAAATTTAACTTGAGGAATAATTTTTGAATTCCTTCCTCTTTTAATCAGTATAACCTTTAAAGCTAAAAAGCTGTCAGATATATGACTTTGGTATGTACCTTTAAATAGAGCTGTTGTTGTATAGGTCTCCAGCTGAAGCCGTATCATAAGTCTCTCCAACATGTTCATGACTGGCCTGAAATACTCACTGAATTAACAATCCTGGATCCTCAGAGGGAAACACCTCAGCTATTCTTGAAAAGAGATGTGAGACTACCTTTAGAGATTGAAAAAAAGGTTGGCATTACAAGTTACTCTATGTCACATGCAGGATTAAAACCAGAGTATGAAACTGGAAGCCAATCAGTAAAGTGCTGTCTGAATGTTCCAGAAATTATTTTATGCACACACTTGACAAGACAAATGATCTTGCTTAAAAAAAGAGAATGGGATACTTCCTACGCATAAGACTAATGAGCCATAAAAACCGACTACTATTATTAACTACTAAAAAAAAATTGTTTGTTAAATATTTGTCATCTGCTGATTTTTAATCAGTTTGTATATTTGCTTTTTTAATAAGTACAAAATTATTTGTGACTTTGAACCAAAGTGGCATACTGTCAGTCTTTTGAAATAGGCCAGGTTGGGAAACAGACTCCACAAAGATTAGTTTATTGTTGCAATGTGTAGTAATAGAATCTTGAAAGCCTGGCAGAATTAGCTCTGCCCTCACATACCAAAAGGAATCAAGGTGGGACAGTCTTAGGGTTTTTTTTTTCAAACTTTCCTCTCTTTCAGGGCTAAGCTAATGTAGCCACTCTTGCAGCCCCTTGTCAAGGTTATCTTGGTATCACTGTATAACCTACACATATTCCATCTGTAACATATAAAAAAATCCAGATTTCACTGATTTTAATTATTATGAAACATCAGTTATTTGTGGTTATTTAAATATATACAGTTTTAAAAATGCAGTAATGTGCAGTACATCTTCTGAAGTAAATTTGTAGGATTTATTTCCTGAAAAATATATATATGAGACTGCAGTCAAAAGCTGATTGTTGTTTTTTCTCCAGAAGTGTTTATATGATTCCTCTATTATACAACAATTTTAAAAAAGCTAAGAAATTAGCTTTTATGATAAGATCAAACTAATTGTTCCCTCTATTTTTTTTATAAAGTTTTATTGAGTTTTATAAGGTTAGGGAAGGGATGGGGTCGGTATGGGGATTGAGGTTCGGGGTGGGAATCAGGATTGGGATTGGGACAGGAATGGGAACAACAATGGGGTTGTCCCCCATTAACATTTTCAAGCTTTAGCAAACAGACTATTGTCCGGGTACATATGTTCAATAACACTAATTAATATAATAATAAATAGCTATGATGAATATGATAAACGATAATCATAAACAGTATCAGTTAGTCAATATGTATTATTCATCTTACTAGTATATATTCACAATAACATATCACATTCATTTCTCACTAGTTCATTTTCCTAACCATTGGTAAAAATTATCCCATGTTTTGAAATAAACTGAATCTTCTTTCTCTTTAATCTCTAAAGTTAATCTATCCATTTCTTCACATTCTAAAATTTTCTTAATTAAAATCTCTTCAGTTGGTAAATTTTCATTTTTCCAGTATTGGGCAAATGCTATTCTCGCTGCTGTCAATATATACAATATTAAATACTCATTCTCCTTCTCATACTTGGCTCCTAGTATTTCTAACAGAAACAATTCTGGTTTAAATTCTATCTGCATTTTAGTCATCTTTTCCACACATGTATGAATCTTAAGCCAGATTTTTTTTCGCTGTAGGGCATAACCACCAGATATGGTAATAAGTACCTGGCTTTTGTTTACATTTCCAACAATTATTCGAAGTGTTTTTAAACATTTTCGCTAGTCTTACTGGTGTCATATGCCATCTATAAAACATCTTATACAATTTTCTTTATATGAAGTCAATTTAATATTTCTATCCCATAATGTTTGCCAATCTTCTAAATCTATAGAATATCCCAAAAAAATTGCCCATGTTATCATTGTTTCTTTTACTTATTCTTCTTCCATCTTCAAGTTTAGAAGAAATCTGTAGAGTTTCTTAATCAAGTTTTCATCTGTTTTTAACAATATTTGATCAAATTCTATCTGTTCTTTATAAAATCCCGTTGTCTTTGCATCTTTTTTATATCTTGTTTGAATTTGAAAATAAGGCCACCATGCTAAGTCAATACCTTATCATTGTAAATCTTGTCTATCTTTCAATTTTCCTTCCTTGTCCAGGATATGTTTGTAAGTGACAACTTTGTCATAGTTAATTAAATTGGGGTAAGCAAAAGCTTCCATTGTTGAAAGCCACTCAGGTAGTTTAATATAATTTTTTGTTTTATTCTTTCCTATTCTAAAAAAAATACATTCCTTATAGAGTGGTTTTGGAAGTATCTGTGTGTTTTATTTTTCCCGTACCATAGAAAGGCAGCCAACCAATTTGTAGATCATGCCCTTCTAGATACAGTAGTCTTTTGTTTCTCAGCGTTATTCATTCTTTAAGCCATGGTAAAATGGCTGCTTGATAATATAGTCTCCAGTCTGGTAGTCCAAATCCTCCCCTGTCTTTAGCTTCTTGTAACATTTTCACTTTAATTCATGCTTTCTTCCCTTGCCAAATAAATCTCAATATTTCCCTCTATCGATAATTGACCCAAAGTGCAAAACATCTGATCATTATTCATATTCCACCTTAAGCCTCTGTTTGCTTTAATTAGCTGTTAGTTGCTTTGAATCTTAGAGATGGAGTGAACTTGGAATTTAAAGAATGAATATATTGGCTTGTTACTGAATATAATAACATAAACGTGATTTCACAAATTCAGCATCTGAACTTTGGCTTTATTTGACAGTGATTCAATTATATATACATCGATCCATTAATATATCTTTACGTGTTTTCAGATTGAAGATCCACTGGCTATTCTTATCCTATTTGATGAGGCCAGGTACAATTTGCTGAAAGGGTTCTATGCGTCCTCTGATGCCAAGCTGATCACACTTGCAAGCCTTTTGCTGCAAATTGTCTATGGAAATTATGAAAGTAAAAAGCACAAACAGGGCTTCCTAAAGTAAGTGCATTTAAATTACTGATATTTCATTGTTTATTCAGTAAAATGTTCATAAAAATGTACTACAATATATTTTATATTTGAAACTTTTAGTGCATATTATTTCTCACTTATCTCTTTCTTAAGGCAAATACATTTTATTTTTTCCAAATGTTCTATAATATGTCTGATTTTATTTTTTAGTGAAGAAAACTTGAAATCTATAGTACCAATCACCAAATTAAAGAGCAAGGCACCTCACTGGACAAATCGAATACTTCATGAATATAAGGTAAGAAGCTTATTATAATGTTATAATTACAACATTATAATTTCAGAAATTCAAGCCCTTTTGGAAAAAATAGCAAATTTTGTGAAAATTTAAAACAGAACTTGCCTGAAACAAAAGTACTGTATGTAAGTCATTTTAAAAAAATGGAATGGGTTACTACAATTAGAGTATTATTTTGTGATCACACTGAATACAGTGGTGCTCAAAAGATTAACCAAAATTATCAGGAAGATAAACTGTAGGAAAAATTTAGAAGATTTGGTCACTCTTGAAGTTGTAGAACTAGATCATCACAGGAGGCTAAATTGTTGAAGATTCAAGATTTTTTTTTAAAAAAATACTAATCTAGAATCTATATAATAACTATCATATAATGTGGTGATGATCACTAATTTAGAGTTCTTGAAAGCAAATTATTGGAAGATAAGCCTGGCTAAATGTTACTTGCAGATCACAGGCGCAACCTGGAAGATTATGCATATGGATGCTGGTTTTTAGGAATGAAGGCAAATATATGTGTCCCAGGATAATGTTGCAGGATCCAATCTGAGTCGGTCACCCAGACCAGAGATTTGTTCTTTCAAGCTTTCCGACTCATACTGGAGCCCATCCTCTCAGGTAACTTCTCAGTCTCCAAGATGTGGAGATTCTCAACTTCTCAATCCTGGAGACTGAGAAGTCCCTGAGGATGGGCTCCAGCACAAGAACCAAAGCTTGGAAGAAAAAAACCTCTGGTCCCAGTGACTGACTCAGATTGGATCCTGATTTTTATGATTTTATGTATTTCCTGCCAATGTACTGAAAAAATACAAAATCTTTTGGTTTAACTTTTAGATCAATCCACAACTTATTAGATACAGAATTTAACTTCTTTAACTGTTTATGTCGACTTGTATTTCCAGAGTCTCAGTACTAGCGAGGGTGTGAGTAAAGAAATGCATCATCTGCAACGCATGTTTTTGCAAAACTGCTGGGAGATTCCTACATATGGAGCTGCTTTTTTCACAGGACAAGTATTCACAAAGGCAAGCTCAAGCAATCATAAAGTCATCAGAGTTTATGTAGGCATAAATGTCAAAGGGCTCCACCTTCTAAATATGGAAACAAAGGTATGCATGGTGTTTTTGTTGCAATACTTATTGCAACATTATTGTTGCATTATTGTTGAATACAAAGGATTTAGAAAGGTGATATATAGAAACATTCAAAGGCATTTCTTTGACATTGGTGTTTCTCAAGGTCAGCAAGTTTAAAATGTCTAGATGTCAACTCCCAGTATGCTGACTGGGGAATTCTGGGAGTTGAAGTTCATACATCTTAAACTTGCTACGTTTGAGAAACACTGCTCTAGGATAATTCCAAATTAGTTGACAGTTTCCTAAATGTAGTATGAATGTTACTGATATTAAGCTAGCTAGCTGTCTTGCTTTATATATTGATTGAAAAGGGTGAACAAACCATTCCAGTCACAACCAGCTTTTAGAGGTATACAGTTTTACAATGAAAGTGCAATAAGCATGAAATCAATCTGTCAATAGTTGCAATCTATTCCCCAAATTAAAACTATTTCCATTTATAGAGGGACAAACATTCCAGGGCTTATTTGAACAGCTAAGCCTTTATAGACTTTCTGAATGCCGAAGAGTGAGGAAGCCATTTCAATATCCAGTGGAATGCTGTTACAAAGGAAAAGGACAGAGCTAGAGAATCAATGCTTCTGTGGCTCCTGAAAACCAAACTCATGAGTGACTCATGAGCCTGCAAGAAAACAACCAAGATTAGAGAGCTCCAAGGACCCCACAAACAAATAAACAAACAAACGACCCAGGGAGAGACTACTTATTTGACCTTATTCTTTGGATAGATATTATCCAGAATAAATAGTCCTTCAGATATTCATGATCTGAACCCACATAAGGCTTTCAAATTGGCAGCCTGTGCTTGAATTGCAGTCAGAAGCCAACTGGGGGCCAGTGCAGCTCCCAAAGTAATGGTTGATATGTGCACAAGAAGGAGGGTTGTGACTACTTGGACACTGCAGTCTGGATCAGTTGTAGCTTCTTAAAATTTCATGCAGTGTACATGTGATAATTTCATGCAGTGTGCATGTCTAGTAAGGAAGTCATGAGTGACAGTGAGCAAACTTCTCATTCTAGAAAGAGTTGTGTAAAAGCCTCTAGTCATAGCTGCCTCCTGCTCCTTGTATAGGAATTTTGGATCTAGAAAGGTTTTGTATCACTACTTCATATTGTTTTTTTAGCTAATTTAATTTAAATTATATTGAAAATGCTACTCATGGAAAGAAAAAAGGAATTTCAGTAGAAATAGAATGATTTCCTCACATTTAGTGATTTTTCTTGTCTTGAATTAGTTCTTTGTAATTTATTCACCAATAAAAATTTGTTTCCTTTGAAGATACTTTAGACTTTAGAAATTATTGTCCACTTCCATTTTTGTTTGTTTTTCAAGCATCCATTTCTTGTAATGAAATAATAACAATACTACAGAAAATATTTATAGTTACTTTTAAAAAGTGAATGTAATACGGCCAATATGAATTCTTAATACAGTCACATGCTTTATCTGACAATTATCCGAAAGGCTTAAGATATTGGTACCAAGCTAATATTCTGTGCACATCCTTGATATGGCTAGTTTAATTCATGGTGGAGCCTGGGTTGTTTGGTTCAATTCATAGGAAAAGAAACTCTAAATATTAAAAATCCCAAGATCATATTTTCTTATTTCAAAGTGGTCAGTATTGACCCCCAGTGATTGATGGTTTTATCCAAGGGTAAATGGCTGGAAGTTAAAAAGATGTTAGTAAATGATTGGGAGTCAACAGGCAATCAATAAATCCTGGAAGATCAATAGGGATTATTTAGTCTTTGGCATTTCTGTTGAGTTCCACCCCAGTCCTTAATCCTGAATGTGAGGTCATTAATGATGAAGCAGTGTTATTCAGGATTGAATGATCAGCCACCAGCTGTTCATACTCAACCTTGAGTATTTTCATATAATAAATGTTTGAGGGGTCGGTAATGAATCTGAAAATTCATGAATTGATCAACTGAAGATTTTGGGGATTCCTGACTTATAGATAAGCTTTCCATTCTAATTAAGCCAAGCAACACAGTTTCAGGCATTGCCAAAAGCACAGGTTTAGGGGGAAAAGATTTAGTGAGGAAAACATTTGTCCCTTTTGGCAGCAGAGTGTGAACAATAGTAATTTTCACCTACTAAGTAATTTTCTCCTATAAGCAACACATTAAGCTTATTTCCCTAACTGGCTCTGATGTATAGGGAATGCTACATTATCACACACAAAGGATAGAATTGGCTCATAGAAGAATCAGTGAGGAAATGGAAGAGGAAAACAGGTTAACATAAGAGAAAATAGTGAAATAGTACCCATTTGCTATACCACAAAATATATTTTGTTTTATTATTATTATTTTTTTTAAAAAAACAAGTTTTATTGATTTTTTTTATTTTTACAACAAGGTGATTGAGAAACAACATGGTGATGGAGTAATCAATCATCCAAAAACAAAATCATACATATATAACTCAGGTTAAATCATTAGAAACTCCCTCTCTATTTCCCTCAAATAATATAATATATTCAAATTAATGTATTTTTCAATAAAATTCAATCAATCAGAACAATCATCAATAACATTTCATCTGTATAAATCCAAATCCTGTTTTTAAGCTTTACTATTTACAATTACAATATTCCAATTTGGCTTTTAGATAAACATATTATTAACACTTCAGGTGTCCCTCCTTTCCCTTTTTCCTTAGCATAATCCTTATCTTTAAAATACACATGTTATTTCAACCATAACATTCTTATATTTTCTACAAGTATTCTATTTTTTAATCTAGTAACTCATGTATTAATACCATTTTTTCTTTTATCAGAAATCCCTCTTATTCTCCTTTCATTACAAAATAGCTATCCTTCCTAGAAATAAGAATATTACTCCAAAAAATACATTTCTACTCTATTTTAAATCTATAATCTATCAATCAATCTATATCTATGAAAAACTCTTTTAGCCCACTCAATAAAGTTTAAATCTGATCCAAATAATTGTTATATCCACAACAAGCATATTAATACAGAAAAACATCTTCTTACTAAGTTCACATATTTGATTAATCTTTATTCAATCAAGATCTCTAAAGCCTTATTTACCCGTCAAGTAAAGTTTTAAATCACATTTTTAAATCTAACTCTGGCTTTCTTCCTGTGCCAGTCCGGTTTCCATAATAGAGGTTCTATATCGTCGAGTCTCAATATTTGAGTGAGGGTACTTATCAATACTTCAATCTGGGCCAAGTTCTCTTTCCCTTCTTCCTCTGTATAGTGTAGACAGTTTGTTTCCGTGTTATAATCACAAGTTGATTATCCACGATGTTCTCAGTAATTCGTATCAGAGAGTCAGTTCCTGTTCCTTTTAACACTGCAAGTGTCTCAGTTAGACTCATTCTTTGATCTTCAAAATTCTGCATAAATTGTAGATTAACATCTATTTGCTCAGTGACTTGTTCCTCTGTCTCTTTAAGTTGTGTATATTGCTGCACACAGGCCTCTCTAGAGCTAGTTCCTTGACCTGTAGATTGATCCATTAGGATTTGAGATTCAATTTGTGGTTCAGAGATGTAATCTTTAATGTTTCTCCAGGATTTCATATATACTGTTGCTTCCAAAATTGCTTCTAATATAAGTTCATAATCAAGCTGTGGGTGAAATTCTTCCATTTCAGTGGTGAGATAGTCTTTTACTTTTTTAGAGGAGGCTATATTTACTAACAGTCAGCACATACAAACAGTCAGCACTTACCCACCTCCACAATTACTAGTAAGCAACTTCATCACCCAGCTGTTTCAAATCCTTTATCTTTTTGCTTTTATCATCATTTGAAGGTCAAACCCAACCTCAAAAAACAAAGAGGAAATGTAGTTGCAGTAATAGTTTTCACCACAAGATGCCCTCAGTAAGCTGTGAAATCTCTTTTCTGGCTTCCAATAAAGTTTTTTTTTCAAACAATAAAGAATTATCCCTTTAAAAAAATAAATCCAAGAAATAGAAAAACAATATTCTCCAGCTTAGAAAATAGATATAACAATAAAATTCTATGATAGGGATTTTTCCAGGGCCCCAAAGTGACCAAAAATAAAAATAGCCAATAAAAAGTTAACTTTTTTTCCTTTTCTTAAAGCTCTTTTTCCCAGATGGGCAAAGACAGCTCTTTCAAAGCAGGTTTTTAATAGGAGAGTAGTTAGGGCAAAGAGAGAGAGGGAAAGGTCTCACCCAGATCATCCATGGTGATTTCTTAACGCTTAGGTGTTCTTTTGACTTTCGGCTGGTGCAGCTAAATGATCGGCCATGTTACTGGCCGATCTTTTCTTCGTCGGCCCTGAGGAGCTGCCTCAGACCGCGGAAGGAGCTGCCACCTCCCCCCGCGATTGACGAGAGTCCTCCTCATCAGTAGTCGCCCCTCCAGGGCGACTTTTCGACCCAATTAGAGGGGAAGAGGGAAAGCAGCCAGCGAAGAGAGGAGTCTCTCTGCTCGACTGCACACACCGCAACCCGGAACCAGAAGTCATATTTTGTTTTATTTTAATGTGATAAGTTGTTGTCATTGTTGCTATTATTTATTAGATGTGTTTTAGTGACCCTACTCCAAAAAACTTTGAATGATTAACTTATCTCAATTCAGGATTTATTCTGATTTGTCATTTTTTTTCTTTTGTATTTTTTATATTCCAGGCTTTGCTCATAAGTTTAAAATACGGTTGCTTTATGTGGCAGTTGGGAGATGGCGATACCTGTTTTCAAATACATAGTCTGGAAAATAAAATGAGCTTTATAGTTCACACCAAGCAGGTATTTAAATTACACAGTGTCCTCCCTCCAATATTCCTTAATGGTAAATCTTCTCAAATTAGAAATGTATAGTTGACTGGAGCAAACATTATTAGGTTAACGTAAAGTTATTGAACGAAGTCTTCACAATGTAATCATTCGATCAGACATGTTTTGGCAGCAGTATAGAAATATTCTCAACTATAAAACCATAATAATAAAAGTGAATTCAGAATAGTTCATGCAAATAGTCTGCATGTACAGGCTTGCTTTGCAAGGCTTATAGATTATGAAGCTGTTTGGAAACACTTGAGTGGTTAAGACTGGATAAATTGTTAATGGCATTTTATATAATCTTATACTTACCAAATGCCAAACTATGCTCTAGAAAAGATTTCAATTTGCATAATTTAATATTAATCAAAATGCAAACATACCCTGGCTTTACTTTCAACAGAGAGGAAACAGATGACGTCTAGCATTTAAACAGCTTACATTATTTTGCTTTTCCTTCCAAACTGTTTGGCTTGCATACACTCTAGCTGCTGACAATAATATTCTAGCTTACCTACTGGAAATGAAGAAATTTGAAAAGAAAACTCCGCTTAAAACAGCAGATGACACAATGTGCTTGTCTTGTTATATTTGGGGTATCTTTGTGCTACTCATCAAAGAAGACTGGGTTGTGAGTCCTTGGCAATATTGCCTAAAGTTGTATGTAGCATGCTCATCTGCACAATCTTCAATTATCAAGTTTATCCTTGAGACAGTTATGGAACTCTGCTCACTTAGCTTTGGTCTATCTCTTTAATCTTTGGAAACCCCTTGAAATACTTTACTATCATCCTTAGGGATCCCCCAGGGAACCTGCAAGGTGGTTGTATGATATTAGGTGATTGTTATTCCCCTACAATTTTGGCTTTTTTATGATTTTATTTTTGTTCATGTTCCGTGTTTTAAGAATTGTTTTAACTATTGCTGCATTGTATGCTGCCCAAAATCATACGTAAGATGGACGCCCATATGGATTTGCTAAATAAATAAAAATGTTAGAATACAGTCTCTTTTAAGAAAAGACTGGACAGCCATTTGTCTGAAATGGTATAGGGTTTTCTGCCTGAGCAGGGGGTTGGACTAGATGACCTCCAAGGTCCCTTTATTATTATTGTTGTTGTTACATGGCTTTTATTACTATTTAATGTATTTTTCTTTTATAGGCAGGTCTTGTCATAAAACTTCTGATGAAGCTAAGCAGTCAGCTGATACCTGAGAGAAGTGAATAAATTAAATGGGGAGCAGTTGTGTTCAAATGTTCCAGTTTGATTAATTGAACAGGATAAAAGACATTGCCTGATGGAGGTCATACAAAAATGCCATGTTCATTTGTAAATTTATATTGTACAGCACTATTGTAATATAATCATTTAAAGTACTTGGTTTGTAAAGCCATAAGAATAATATTTGTGCATGTAATTAACAGAAATTCAGGAAATAAAATCAAGGCTATAATTCTAGGTACAGACATGCTGACAAGGGAATTCTGGGAGTGCAGATATCTTAAGATGTGAAGCTTGAGAAACACTGCACTAAGAAATTAAAGAATAAACAACATATCTGAGTAAACATGTTTTAAATGGGTTTAACTCTGTTCTGTGTTATTATGAATATGTTCTATTTCTAGATTGCACAATAAACTGCAGGTTTCACTCTATGACAGTAATGGAGCACTTATGACACATGTCAAAGGTCATATGCCACAATGTTTTGGATGACACTCCAGCGTTCACCAACATCAACAACTATTCTCAAAAGTATGTCTGTTCTCACATAATTTTGGGAGGCTGTAGAGACAGAGAGAATGGGGTGTGCTCTTGTGCAACTTCCAAAGCCGTTAGATGTCATGTGAAAGGGCTGTGCTCTTGTGTGGCCTTTAGAGCAGAGATGGGCAATTAATTTTCCTAAGAGGCCACAGGAGAAACAGGGACTGTTTCACCCCACTGTCACGGACCAAACAGGGATAATCAAAGGGCAGGTGGCTTGCAGGCTGTAAAATGCCCAGTTCTGCTTTAGAGTCTCCAAACATCGCATAAAAATGGGGTTTAGAGAATGGTTTCATTTGGTTTTCGGAGTCTGCAGAGGCCATTGAAAAGCATTCTCCAAAGCTGCTTCAAGAACGAAGGCCTTATGCAACCTAGAGCAACCTTGGGTAGGTGCACAGGGGCCTGTCAAGAAAAAAGAATACTGCCTGAAGGTAAGAGCACATGGCAGATCCTGGGGACCTCTGGGCTATGGGGACAATCGCACTGTTCCCCAAGGCTCACATTTCTTGGAGAACAGGATTAGGCAGGCTTTTTGAGTGGCACCTGTGGCACTATTGCTGAAATCAAAGCCGGGGCCTCTATTTCAGGCCCAGCCTTGGTGCTGCTGCTGTGCCACTGTTCAGGATGGCCTAGATGCGTCAGGAGATAGGAAGACAATTGTATCTCTTTTATTCAGTGTGTGTGACATACCAGTAGAACCAAGTTAGGCATTTTTTTGAGTTTTTGACACACTGAGCCCGAAAGGTTGTCATCACTGCTCTAGGAAGTCCTCAAGGCACCGGCAATTCAATATAAATCTCAGAATTTAATAAATCCCTCAAAATCATAACATTTAATTTGACAATATACAGTGAATGCTAATTGTTAAAACATCTATGAAACATTTGCATGGGATTTTTCTAAATTCCTTCTTATTTCTGGTGTTGTGGTTAAAATGTTGGATTTTGAGTGGGAGATGCATATTCTAAATTGTCCACAATCACAGAATTTGACTGCATAATTTCATTATTTTTGTCTTAGGCTAGTCTACCTCACAGGCTCTTGTTGGAAAAAATAGGAGGGGGTGCCCTCATTATGCCTTCCTTTGCTCCAAAATGAATGGTGCAACATCCATCTCACATAAATAAATACACAGATGCATAAACTATATGTAATTTCTGGGATATGGGAATCTCTAGGGCAGCATTAGTTCAGTGTAACTGGCTACACATTGGTATCTCAAAGATATTACATGTGTTGAATAATTTATGGAATATGTCAACAAGAGTTACTTTACATACAATTTGAAATATACAGTCCTTGTATACCCTTGCTCTATCAGATAATAATTCTGTTTATGAAATACAGCATTTAAAAATATTTGTACATAAGCTCAAGAAATGTTTTTTTAAATAAAAATGTTTGATTAAAATATGATTTGGTCAATATTTAAGTATTTGGTGATAATAGAAAGTTCCTTTATAAAATTAATTTTATAATGAAACTTAGGTTTAATGGACTACAAATGTTGTGGATGAACTTTCCATTTTTTTTTGTGTCAGATCATTTGTGGATGTCATTTTATGTCATTTATGGGTGGCATAATATCTCTCTCCAGCAATTAGGATTAACAAATATTCCTTCTCTTTAATTAAGGGAAGCTCTTAAGTACAGTAAGCTCTAATTACAGTATGTCATTTTCACCCATATGGATCATCCTACTAGCAACTCCTATGAAATATAGTATAGTAGGAATATCTGGCTCTTATCCAAACAAAAGATAGAACTCAGTCATTTGGTGTAATTTTCTGTGCAGAAAGTCAAAAATCAGTCTCTGGTATCTCACACTAAAATGTTATATAGCCATTGAGTCAAGGATCTCTGCCTGTGTTCTGGAGAGCCACTGCTAAATATTGTGCAAATATTATGTCTTTTATTATTCTCACTCAGAGATCAAAATGTATCAGTCAAGAAAATTGAGCAATGTTGAAGAATGAGGGAATTCTAGTGCCAGAATGCTGAAATTCTACATTTTCATCCTTTTTGGTGAAAATAGCTGAACTCTTAAGTAAATAATTCCTGTTGGCAGCCATTGCTCTAGTGCAATGTTTCTTCAACAGTGTTTCTCTGACTTGCTGGTCAGAAATATAACTACCATCAATGTGGCCCAGCATTGGATTAGAACTGTGTAAATTTATGTTTTTATCAACGTTTTTAATCTTTTAAAATTTAAATTAATAATTTTCCCCTTTCCGGTTTCTGCATTTCTGTCATAAGACGAGATGAGATAAATCACTCCTGTTGGCAGTCATTGCTCTAATGCAATGTTTCTCAACCTCAATAACTTTAAGATGTGTGAATTTTAACTCTCAGAATTCTCCAGCCAGGGAAGTCCACACATCTTGAAAGTGGCTGAGGTTGAGAAACACTTTCTAATGGTATGACTGATAGGCATCCCATGGACAAGACTTGAATTTCTTTCCTCGTATTTTGTTTATCCCCACCTTTTCACATCCAATATTAAGATGTTATATTAAAGTACCACTATAAATGGGGAAACAAATAAGGCTTGGCTATACTAGCAAATTAGAAGAATTAACACTGTTAATTGTTTAAGCAACTGTTTCTCAGGTGCAGCCCTTATAAAGATAAAATTGTTGCTGATAGTCACAGGCCAGAGAATTGAAGACCATGTTTTTTTAAAGTTCTTTATTAATTTACTTAAACAAAATTTATATTCCATGTTGTATTCCCAAACTACTGATTCTTTTTTCCAGCTTTGCCCTCTCAAGAATTTAATTTCTTACCTAGTTTTATATCTCTTTTTGAATGACCCATATGACATACTGTATGTTTCTACATCATATTCCAGACTGGACTGTCTTTACAAAACATTATATTGGTCATTGTGAATTTGATTTAAAAGCACATCCCCCATATTTAAAACATCAGTAATTAGGATGTATGTGTTACTCTTTTCATCCAAGTCTCTAAAATTTGAACAGGAGTTTGAAGTTGGATAAAACTAGTACACAAGGGGATGGAAGTGGGATCTTCTTAGTTCATTAGTCATCTGCACCATGGAACAGAATACCAATAGAGTGAATCCAGAAGATTTTTTCCCAGGGGCCTGTATTTTTGTTAAACTGTTAAATAAAGATCTAATCATATGAGGCATTTTGATCAATATTGCACTGATGTGCTTTCTAAAGGAAAGAAGTTTATACATTCACAAGATCACAAGATAATCTCAGAACTAAAGAAACAGACTGTCAATTACTTAAGAAGAACAGTTTGTGATAAACTCAGAAGTTATAGAACTCAAATTCTACATCTAAACAGAATCTCTGACTTGGTGAGAAAAATAAGCCAATCAGAATTGCTTTAAATTGAAACTTCCATTTGAAAATCTCTGGCAGTTGGAAATTCTATAAGGTGAGGTTTAAAAGAAGAACATGCCCTACTTGATATATATACTCTAGCTTTTTAATATTAATGACAGAAATGGCAAATATTCTAGACATCACACTATATGTATGATTGCTACAGAGACCTTCAAATTCAATTTTAAAAAATGCTTTGTAGTACTGTATATAGATAGTAGCTGTGGCAGCTCTTTGTAGTAAAGAAAAAAATTGGTCTTTTAAAAGTTGTAAAAAGGTATAATATTTGTATCCAAAGCACTGCAAAATCTTAATTTCTAGGCATGAACAAGAATTGGCTTTATTTCCAAGAAGTATGTTTAGGTTTGCATTACACAGCTGCAGCCATGAATGAAATAAGGTCTTGTGGAAAACGAAAGAACTCTTACGAATTCCAGAGGGGTTTAGCAGAGAAGTTTGTTGCGCAAGGTTCAGAGGCATATTAGAGATAGGCAATTCTGAACAAGGAGGGCGGGATTAGACTTCAGTTTTTATACTTCCCTTCTAATTTAGTAATAATGGCCCTCCCAATGGCCCCTTGGCAACCCACTCTGGCCGCGGTGGCCTTCGGGCTGCTCTTCTAGCAGTCCCGGTGGCCCCGACGGCCCTTCCAGCGGCCTTTGGTGGTTCGGGAGGACTTAAGGACTGCCCCCGAGGTCAGACTCTTTGGTGCGGCCGAGACTGAAATTCCTTGCCCTCCCCCCCTTCCTTCTTCTGATCTCCCACAGCTGGACATATTAATGTATTCGAGGACGGTCCTACTGGCCCTGCGCGATTCACCCCTCGCGCAGGCCTGGCCCATCAAGATCACTAGGGCCCACCTTGAGGATGGGGTTTGGAACCCCGAGAGGTGGCATGCTGCGGGTGCTAATCGAAAATTACTGAAANGCAAAGTGAAGCTTTACTTTTATTAAATGGGATTGCCCAAATGAACAGCATTTAGCTTTACAGACACTGATTTTTACTGTTTGCAAATGTACCAGAAGAATGTGCTGGAATACATATTATGAATAACTAGGGCCACAACTTAAATTCCTCCTGAAGAGGCACAGTGTAGTCTTTTTCTGTTTGCATACTCTGACTGTCTCAGGCTAATGAGACAGAAAATAATAAAAATAACAACAACTATTACAACTAAAAAAGTAGAGAAAATCTAAAGTAAGGAATTAAACTGTACTGGGCTAATGAAAATTCCATCCATTTTACAAGTAGCTTTACTACTATGGTTGCTTCTGTACTGTAGTTATTTCTATGGCCACAAAGACAGGACAAATTCACATTTATTTAATGTACAACAATGTAAATAACACTTAATTCC